AAAAAGACAAAGAAAATGTTGATAAGGTAAATTAATTGATTATATTTATTATATGTATCATATGAATAATTGCTAATTATCAATTAATCAGATTACTAGTAAGGATTTAAAGCATCAATCAAAAGTTCACACCGGATTATATCCTATACTTACATTGTTATCTAGATTGCATCCTTCGTTGATGGAAAGTACAAATTCAGTACTAAATATGAAATCATTTATATCATTAGTCTCATTATGTAACACTTCATCTATTTACAGAGTAAGTAAATAATTCATCATTATTAATTAGCTAATTAATGAATTAATATAATTTATGATGATCTTTAATGAAAGGTTAGAGAAATAGCAGCAAAAGCACTTGTACCATTAATCACAACAAATGATTTAATTTCAAAATGTATTGAATTGCTGAATGGATGTGAATTATTTAATCAAAATGAATTACATGGAAGATTAATTCAAATAAAATATTTGTTAAAAGGGCATTTAGAAAATAATTTTTGTGGATTTAATATTATGAAAGGTAATAATCTGCTTAATCATCATTTGACTATTCAATTATTCATTAATCATTTAATCAATCTAATTCATTTATCATTATTTTTAAAAAGAATTTATAGAAAAATTTTCCAAAGTTTTCAAATCTGAATTTTATCTTTTAACTAAAGAAAATCCATGTCAAATCACTAGAAACTTATTACTAGAAATAATTTATGTTTTTATTATTAATGATGATTGGATATATAATGAAAAAGATTTAATTAAACAAAATGGTAAATTTTCAATTTCTTTATTTCCAAATAAATTATACATATTACTCTTAATAAACAAGTAATATTATTAATAATGCATACATTTTTTAGAGCTTTTTGAATTGATCAAAGAAAAGTTTTCAGAATTGAGAAAATCAATTTTTTATTTATCATATTCAGAATTATTATCATTACCAACTAACGATCATATTATGTTTGATGAAGATTATTATAAGAATAATATTGGATATTATCTTGTTAAAAAACAAATGATAAAGATAATAGTTAAATCATTGATTAATAATAGTCAAGAAAAAAATATTTATTATGATGAGAAAGAAATTGATCAACAAAAAATTATTATTGATATTATAAAAGAAACCAATTATTAAAATCATTGCTAAATTTTTCATCATCAATAAAATATTTATCGCTACTATTGTTAAAGAATTCGGTTATAAGTTCTTTATATATTAAATTATTTAATAATGGATGTAATTTAATCTTGGTTGAATTTATCAAAGATTTCTTCAAAATCATTTCAATCTCTAAATTAAAAAAAAAATCAAATTACATATTAAAAATATATATATATATAAGTTTAATAATATATCATCACAAACCTTTGATATATTTTAATTTTTCTTCAATATTTGGCAGAAATTCAATCATAATAATTAATGCCAAAATGATTTTATAAATTACAAAAAAAACCTTTGGTTTTGATGTGAAACCTAAAGGACCGAAGTTCCCTTCCTAAAATAAATGAATTTTTTTTAAAAAAATAATTATCAATTTATAAATCGTTAACTAAACAAAAAAAATTTTTCATTTGATACCTGGATTTCTTTAAAACATAATATTTCCAAAACATTATTAAATTGATCCAAAATAAACTTTGGTATAGTCACTCTAAATAAGTCTGGAAAATTTAAGGAATTATTAAAATTTAATAATGATTTCAAATGTTTAAACGATAGTTGAATATCTAGAAGCTGTTCTTTATAAGTATTTGGATCTTCAATTGCAAATAAAACTTTTGTTGGATACAATTCAGATTTTAAAATTATTTCTAAATTGAAGTTAATAATTAATAGAATTAATGAATAAAATATTTATTAAAGATTGGAAAAAAAGAAAAGGCATTTTGTTTGTGTTTGTGTGCGAAAGAGAATTAACTACCTACCAGGTTTATCATCGCCTGTTAAATTTTGTAATAGAGCAATGTATAAATGTAATGATTTATGGTAATGAGTTGAAATATGTTCATAACATAATTCTGTTGCTTTATCTGAATTTATTGGTATCTAATAAATATTAATAAAAAAATATATGTAAAACATTTATGCAAAAAAATATACAAAACATACACATATTATAGAGTACCTTTAATTTTTTAGCTTTAGAAATAATAGAGGCAGTATCATTTCTTATATCAACGTCATCATCCTTAATAAACAATGATAATAAATAAATAATAACAAATTACAACATAAATAATAAATAATGAAAATAAATACCTGGGCTAAACGTATTAATATCAAGTATAAAGTTATCATATTTTGAATAATATGAGATTTTAATGAACTATTATTAACTTCACTAAATAAATTGTTATTAGCAAATAGAAATAGGGATTTTGAAGCAATTTCACGTAAATTAAGTTTCTAATATTTTTTTTAAGAATAATAAAATTAATTAATATTGGTATTAACATATTGATAATTGATTAATTAACAAATTTTAATTAATTACAATTTCTGGCCTTGTATTTTCTTCAATATACTCAGTCCATTGTTTTAAACATAAAGATTTAAAATCTG